AGATCTGGTTGGCCGGTAACAGGGCTCATAATAAACTTTATAATATTATAATAACTCTCTCTTCTCTACATCTGTGTATCTCCCATCACACACTCCCTCTTTGTTCTCGCTCCTGTTAAACCTTGCTCCAGATAACAGCGTTCATATTTACATGCAGGTACATCAGATACAGTTTGATACAAGAGAAGTATTCCCTAGATGTGTCTGAAGAATAATAATATTGAAGTACAGTATAGAGAATAAAGTCCAACTTTCAGTATGTGCTAAGACTAATTGAATTACTCTCAAATGTTTTAATTTTTAGTCCTGAAATGTCAAGTTTTCTTTGACATTTTGGCATTATTGTCAATATGTCAACTTTATTCCAGGAATTAATATTTTAATTGGACTTCAATCTCTAAATAAATAATTTTACGACACTCGTTTTTTTCACTTATGCCTGTCCTTTATACTGTTCCGTATAACAGACTGTGTCATAGTGTAAGCCCTGTTGCTGAGAACAACTCACACCTTCTCCACCCAATAGTAGATACATGTTGGAATATATTTAGTAACTGATATTGATGATAATGTCTCACTTTTCTTAGCATGTGTCACAGCTTGTTCCTCAGGGGACACTATTCTATGGTATATGACTCTTTTTTTCAAATGTGACTTCACACATATATTTAAAGAAGCAGTAATAAAAGACATGGACACTTGTTGCCTAATAATTAGAAAATGTATATATTAAATACACTGAAAAACTGAAACGTTGACTTTAATTAAATGTATTATGTATATGTTACAGTTATCCATTCTATCTCAATATGTTCTATAAATAAAATATAACTTTCATGCAATCATATTTGTTATAAAAATCCCTTTAGTACTTCAATATGTATCTGTTGTGTTTTTGCAAACATCATCTGGTGTCACTCCTCTTAAATGTACTGCAACTGATCTTCCCATTTCTGATCACTCATTAATATCCTTTACTGTCACCTTAACACTGTCCAAACCAAATTTGTCACGTGTTATTTCCTTCCGCAACATCAAGGATATTAATGTAACTACACTCTCCAGTGGCATTGACAACCTCCCCAGCATAAATTGTTCATCCCCGCCTGATGAACTGGTTTCTCATTACAATAACAATCTTCATAAACTGCTCAATACCCTGGCTCCTTTAAAACCCCGGTCTGTTTCCTTCACCCATTCTGCTCCATGGTTTACACCTGAACTACGCCAACTCAAAACAAAAGGCCGTCGATTGGAACGCCTCTGCAAAAAAACTGGACTTGTCGTTCACAAAGAGATGTACAATAACCACATTCTCCACTACAAGGACACTCTCTCTACAGCCAAATCATCATACTACGCAGTTCTCATCAGCTCTGGCGAAGGGAACACAAGGGTCCTGTTCTCTACAGTGAAGAACATTCTACGACCACCGGACTCTCTTGCACCTCATCAGTATTCAACTGCCTACTGTAACTCCCTCATGTCATTTTTTAATGACAAAATAGAAAACATTCACCAGCAACTAACTCCTAACACCACCTGCAGTATATCTCTCCCTGTTTTCACCGACCATCTCTCTCATTCTCTTTCAAGTTGCACACTTCCCTCTGCTGTTGTAATATCTGACCTCATCAGTAAATCCAAGCCATCTACCTGTCAGTTAGACCCTCTTCCTACCCCCCTGGTAAAAGCCTGTCTACCTTCATTGTCCTCCCTTATAACTGTCATCATACACTCCTCCCTCACCTCTGGTCTTGTTCCCTCACTTTTCAAATCAGCCGCCATCACGCCCATACTGAAGAAACCTGGTGCAGACCCCAACAACTTTAATAACTACCGTCCCATATCTAATATACCATTTCTCTCAAAAATCCTGGAAAAAACTGTTGCATCCCAAATCCATACCCACTTGTCTGACAATAACCTGTATGAACAATTTCAATCTGGTTTCCGCCCCCATCACAGCACAGAAACAGCACTGGTGAAAATCACTAACGACCTCCTCATGGCAGCTGACTCCGGACTATTAACTATCCTCATCCTCCTTGATCTTAGTGCAGCTTTTGACACCATTTCCCACAGCATCCTCATTGACAGACTGACCTCCATCGGGATCACTGACACACCCCTCCTCTGGTTTAAATCATATCTCTCTGGCCGCACTCAGTTCATCCAACTCAAAACCTTCAAATCACAGCCACTTCCAGTCACAACCGGTGTTCCCCAGGGCTCTGTCCTGGGGCCTCTTCTTTTTATCATCTATTTACTTCCTCTTGGCAATATCTTCCGTAAACACAACATCCACTTTCATTGTTACGCGGATGACACCCAGCTCTACTTGTCCTCCAAACCAACCACCATCCTCCCTCCATCCTCCCTGTCTGACTGCTTACAGGACATCAAATCCTGGTTTTTCTCTAACTTTCTCAAACTTAACGACAGTAAAACCGAGGTTCTCCTCATTGGCACAAAATCCACCCTAACCAAACCTGACAGTTTCTCCATTACTATAGACAACTCTTCAGTCTCCCCCTCCCCTCAGGTTAAGAGTCTGGGTGTCATCCTCGACGGCACACTTTCATTCAAATCTCACATCAGTAATATCACTCGGTCTGCCTATTTCCATCTACGCAACATCAACCGCCTCCGGCCGTCCCTTAACCCTAAGACCACCGCCATTCTTGTTCACACCCTGGTCACTTCCCGCATCGACTACTGCAACTCCCTTCTCTTTGGTCTCCCTCTCAAATCCATCCACAGACTTCAACTGGTTCAGAACTCTGCCGCCCGCATCATCACCAGAACCCCCTCCATTAACCACATCACTCCTGTTCTTCAGCAACTTCACTGGCTCCCCGTCAAATCCCGTATTGTTTTTAAGATTCTGCTCCTCGCCTTTAAGGCCATCCATAACCTCACTCCTCTGTACCTCTCCGACCTCCTGCACATCAACACACCCATCCGCACACTCAGATCTTCTGCTTCCCTCAGCCTCACTGCACCCCCCTTCCGTTTAACCACCATGGGGTCTAGAGCCTTCAGCCGCTCTGCACCCCGCCTCTGGAACTCCCTCCCACCTGACATCCGCAACACTGACTCTCTCCCCATTTTCAAATCACGCCTCAAAACATATCTCTTCACACTCGCATATCCACCCTGATCATTATCCATCACACATCCTCTGTTTTATGTATTTGATTTATTGCATTGTCTTGTTTATGTTTCTTATGCTGGTGTTAGGTATTGTGTATCTTGTTTTTTATGTGTTTGTACGGCGACCTTGAGAGCCTTGAAAGGCGCCTATATAAAATAAATGAATTATTATTATTATACAGTGCATTAATACATAATGAATATTTAAGAGAGTCATTTTATACTCACTCCTGATAGTGTTTGTTATTTGACTAGAATATTTCCCCTTGTACTATTCAAGGTTCATGTAATACATTCATTGTTGATTTAAAACAGTTTATTGTTCATTGAATAACTGTTTATGCTTTTGTTGTGGTGATGGTGATGTGCAGCATAAACCTCTAGAAATACAGAAAAGCCACCAACTTGAAAATGAATATGTTAAAGATTTACAATCTTATAATGCTCAGTAGAGAGTGGAGCAGGGATGAGTCCTAAACGTGGAAAATGAGTTAGCATGCAACCCTTCCTGCTTCCCTCGTCACGAAAGACGGCGATGCCTAAAATAAATGTGGTGGTTCACACAAGCTGACAAGATCTTCACGTTTTGTTATATGATATAAATTACGTCAGTGAATGGCCCACTGGTGAATATCTGTAGCTTGTACGTATAAAAATGGCGGTTGTTTAACAACTTTAGCTGTGGTGACGTGATGTCATGTGACTCTTTTTACCTCTGGCGTTTGCCTTTACGCTTAAAATATTATAACATGTGTCAATTAGACTTCAGAAAACACCGTCCTGGGGCCTCATTTATAACGCCGTGCGTAGGATTCACGTGGGAAGGTTGCTTACGTAGTAGAAATCCAAAAAATAGGTACAGAAATGTTCCGACATTTTCCGATTCACCAAACATTGCGTACCGGCGAGGAAAGTGCGTACAGCACTTCCTACGCCGGTTTCCCTTTATAAATCACAATCGACTCGAAATGCGGTGCAGCTTTTGCGGGCTTCACGTAACGCCCATATTTGCCTATAAATAGTCAAAGAAACGCCCATTCATTCATTCTGACTGACTTTATGAAGAAGATCGCAGGAAATGACGACAGAACAGCTAAAAAAGACATCTCACACCGTGTCAGATTCTGGTTATTTTGGGGAGGTCGAGATAAATCATATTGTTTGGTGGATGCAGTTTGAACCAGAGTAGCAGCATGGAGGTCGGATCGTCACCAAAATAAATAAATAAGTGGTCTGAAAAAGGTTAATGACAAAAACAATACACATAGCCTTCCTTAGGCAGTGTGTTTTGTACCGGGGACAGGAGACCCCCCCTTGATGAGAAACTGTAAGAAATGATCGGGGAATCCCTCCGGAGTGGAGTCATGACGACTGGATCTGAATTATGTTTTTGTATTTGGTGGTTTGTGTCCCAGTTGTCGATCAGCTGTGCGCAGCGTCTCCACTGCAGCCTGTGCGTCTCAACCCCCCCCCCCCCCCCCGCAGCAACTCTATATCCACCAGTTAAAGGAAATACAACTAATGTGTTGTGTTATATTAGCTGTACAATTTACCACATATGGTGTTCTTAGCTTCCATACCTCCTGTGTTTTATGAGCGACTTATCAAGTCTTAGCAAACGGCATAAAACATGATTAAACATGGTAGTATATAAAACCATGCTCGTATCTACAACCTATATAAATGCAAAACCGCATCATTTATGAGAAAACATTTCATAACATTAACACAACATATTCGAGGTGGTTTTAAATAACATATTAGATATTATATCCGTATTTATTTATTTCTCCAAGTTATGTTGGAGAAACATTTTTCGTGTTCTGCTGTCTCTCCCCCGGCAGGAGCACCATGGGCTGTGTGGGTTCGAAGAAGGAGTCGGAGCCGCTCGGCAAAGGGACGGCCAACGAGGAGCAGAACCGTGCCCAGCAGGCGGCCCACTACGTCAAAGACCCCACCACCGGGACCTCCGGGAACAAGGCTGTAAGCAGTACTGTTGTGATACCATCTTAGTGAAGTAACATGTTCATCACATGGCAATCAAAAACCCACATACAGATTTTATCATGGACAAGTTGCTTTCTCATAATCGGGCCATGCAACTAAGTATTTAATTATTTATTTAAATATTCAAAGTGAAAGTCCTACTTTTAAAATGTTAATAATACAAAAACTGCTGAATTATTATTAACAAAATGCTATAAAAGGAGACACGGATTTTCAGGTGAATACTTTTTGGTTTTTCTGTTTCTACCAGAAGTGGTTTTAAATCCTTTATTGTTCAGGAAACACAAGATTTCTCTCCACTGTCTCTTTCTTCAAAAATCTCCATAACAGTATGAGTCTCTTAGGCCCCCTTACCCTAAAAAGGCAAGCCTGCTCTGATTGGTCAGCGTTTCTGCACCCTCATGGCAGCCCGAGAATGACTGAAACGTCTGTTCAGTTCAGAGTGTAGAAAATGTGATCGGCAGTGTATTTATAAAGCACTGCTTTACAATCTCTCTCTATCATTACAGTATGCAACCATATTTAATTAAAAATAAAAGTACTTGTGCAGCTAAATGGCCTCTATAACTAAAAGAGCTACTGTATATACTGTTGGGTACTTCAATCCTTAGGTTAACAAAGTAGGGATTGGGTCTCATTTTAAATGTATTTATCGGCCAATTAAATGTTATTAGTTGTTTTCGTACCAATATATTGTGGCAGGGCAAACCACACCTGCAGCCACTTTGTGAAAGTGAAACAGTTACAGTTTCAATCACGTGTGAAATTAAATGGAACAAGTTATTTAGGTTCAGACAAAAAAAAAAACATTGTTAGGTTTAGGAAAAGATTGTGGTTAGGGTTAAAGTACATGTGTTACATAAGTTAAAGGGGACCTATCATGCAAAATGCACTTTGTGATGTTTTTTATACATAAATATGTGTCCCCGGTGCGTCGGGGAACTCACGCAGCGTCAGAAAATAAAACCCTCTCTCTTTTCCTCCGTACCCAAATCTTTTTAAAACGGATGTACAACGTAGTTGAGTTAAACTAAAGCATCAAATGAAAATAATTGATTTAGGTGCTTTAAATGTACTTTTAACCACTAATCATACATTTAGATTTGTATCCACGTCATATTTGACAAAAATATTTTATTGAACTTTTTTGCAAATGATAATGGGTGAACACAACTGCAGAAGTTCCCTTGCGCCGACACACTCTGTTCCCGTGGCTTGTTTGCATACTGGCCAGACTTTGATCTGTGATGTTGGTGAAGTGGCTGCTGCGTGCTAACAGCGGCTGCTTCCTGTGTGCTGACTGTAACAGCTCTCTGACGCTCGATGGAGAAAGAGGAAGTGACAGAAGCAGAAGCACAGCGCTCAGGCAGAAGACTAATGATCAAAACTTGAATATTAAGCAACACGACTTCCCTCCAATCACACATTGGAGACAACCAGACAGTCATCTGTACATTTAAATATAATAAAGTTATTGTATTTAAATGTACAGATGACTGTCTGGTTGTCTCTTCCCATTGCAGGTTCAATACCTTTGAGCCAACAAACTGTTTCTAATCGACACATTACGAAGCTAAAGATAACTGCCGACAGCATCAACCGGTTGATAAGATGTTGCTTTCCTTCCTTCCTCCCTTCCTTTCAAATCTTTATTTTCTCTGCAATGGCTTCAAAGAACACTACTGCTTTGGACAATCTTCCCCACGACAAGGACAAAGTAGAATTTATTACAATTTTCACTAACAATGTGCATGTCAACTGATTATGTTAGATACGCAGAATGATTGTATAAAGCTGCAGTAATCCATGTTGAATCTCCCAACAGCAGCAGTAGTCAGCACCCACCAAGAGACAGAGCATGTTAACAGAGAGCTAATGTAGAAAGTCACACCATGGAGAACTTCAACCCTGTGTGCTACAAAATTACGTTTGAATACAAAGAAACCACATAGTCAATTTTGTTTTAAGGGAAACGTTGTAAAATAAAAATACCCAACAAAACTACTTGGATAGGTTTAGGCAACCAAACTGTGGTTATGCTTTTTAAAGTATCCTCTTTTGGCTTAAAAATAAGTTTGTTATCAAAATGAAATAAGTGAACATTGACGTTTGACGGGACTTTCACCCGGTAGACCGCTGTCTGTGTCCCATGTGAAAGTCCCGTAGAAAAGTATTTGTTATAGACGAACAACATCTTGGAGAATGTAGGTTTCCCAGAGAATGTTGACAATGCAGTTTCGTTGTATGTTATGTTTAGACCTGGCTGACTTAATACGCTGATCGTGTTGCATTAGACCTGAGAAGCCCGACAATATAATAAAATCAGCTTAAAGAAAATACATTTTTGTTATTTAGAATCAACCAAAAAAAAAGGGAAATAATTGTTGACGTCTTCTCCCAGCCTTAAGTCTCTGTGTTTCTCTCCTCAGAGCAAGATGCCATCCAATGCAAACTCTTCAGAAGGTGAGTCATGATCTTTATTCACATATTGCCTCAGCTCCACTTACGGCCCGTCCACACGGCGGCGTGCGTTCAAGCTTCAGCGCTTCTGCCCATTCACTTTGAATGTCACACTTTGCCGAACTGCATTGTGGGAGCGTCGCTTCGCTTTGCTCGCTTCAAAAGTTGAGCAATGTTCAACTTTTGAAGCTTCGACGGAAGCGTCAGCCAATCAAATCATATGCCAGTACAAGCTCTAGCCAATCAAACCGCGTGCTTTTGTGTCCGGGGCGGGAGATTCATGTGATTGGTTGTTGGTCGAGCTTCAGACACGCCCGCCGGCAAGCTTCAACGCACGCCGCCGTGTGGACGCTGCGTTACACAGTAGGTCTATGTATTCAAACCTCACCTGTACATGGTCCTATATTAAAGGTTACTATACTATTAGATGTTAACACCACCAACAAACAGCGTCATGTAGGTCAGTGCTGGTTAGATGCAGCGAACTCAACACAGCATGTGAGTGAGAGGAAGTAGAGTGAGACAGAGCGATAGCCCCCACCCACTGCTTCACCACACTCTCTGGAGACCAGCCCAACTGTTATTATTAACAAGGAAGTCAGTTACAGATGTGGCTCAGACTTAAATGCAGTGTGTCTACTGAAACATGCACAGATACTCAGTCATGTTCACTCTATCACACATATCAGTATTTGATGAAATCCTCATTAAAATTGTGTTGTTTTGCTTAACAATGTGTTTTCTCATGCCATTATTTCTCAGTATACAATTCTTCAGAAAGTATGCTTGCAGCTTTCACATGGCAATGCAAAAAGGAACATATTTTTTATTGTGTATTAAGACCAAACATGAATATGTTCCTCTTCATTGTCCTTCCCCTGTAGGAGAGAGTATTGCCATGGCACTGTACGACTATGAGGCCATTCATGAAGCTGACCTTGGCTTCAAGAAGGGAGACAAGCTCAAAATCTTAGCGGAGTAAGTATCGTCATTCTTTGATCCTTCAGATATAAGAATAGCTACAGTATATTATATAATAACTCGTAGGGTAATTGTGCCGTTAAATGTTGTTTTTGGGACTTTTGAAGCATGTGGTTTATCATTTCTCGTTGAAGAAATGTTCACGCTTGTGTCTCTGCTCTTCTGCAGATCGGGGGAGTGGTGGAAAGCAAAGCTTGTGAGTACAGGTCAGGAAGGCTTCATCCCCAGCAACTATGTGGCAAAAGATACTCTGGAGGCAGAGGAGTAAGTGTACAATAAAAACACATTTAAATGCATTATCCATTCTCACATCACTTATCACATCACATACATTTTAGTTTTATCACAAAGTTGAAATGAATAAGGACACAAAGAACACAATGTGAATAGAGAATCCAAAGAGGAAGAGCTGCTGAGATCTTTCTGAACTGACTGATGTTTTCCTGTTGTTCAGTTGGTTCTTTAAGGGCGTGAGCAGGAAAGATGCTGAGAGGCAGCTGCTGGCCTCGGGGAACAAAGGGGGGTCCTACATGATCCGAGACAGTGAGACCACCCAGGGTAAGTGAAGAACAGAATATCTGTCCTGTATTGGAGCAGTTTGAAGGGACGTGGTCACAATGATTAAGAGTAGAAAGTCATACTCTGCTATACATACAAATATTTATAAAAATTAAAAATATAAAAATATATCTATATGAATAATACAAACTATTCAAAGTTGCTATATATATATATATATATATATATATATATATATATATATATATTGCTATATATCCACTAGTGGTAAATCCACAGAGAATTATAACCGGACTCTGTAGTTCAGCGCTTTTTAGCATATTTGAACTCTTTCTTTTTTTCTAACCTTTTAAAATGCGTGTTTTCTGAATGGAGATCGGCTAAGCTGACGCAGTATATGCTCCGTCCACACTCACAACAACGGCCTACGGACATAAATAAACCAGCGACTGTATTCACCATTACACAGGCAGTCTGTGGTTTGTACTTGTTTAACTTGTCTAGTTTCTGAACAGATATGAGGAGCTGTGAGCTCTGAGTGCTGACAGCTAACGGCGTTTGGTTTTGTGGTTCGCATTGAAGAGGACGTCACGGCAGTTTTACGCAGCGTCGCTCCGCCCGCCGAACAGCCGATCGCCCCGCCTACACTGCGTTACCATAGTTTCTACCCCTGTTACTAAACTGTAATGGAAACGCAGCATAAAGTGAGCCTGGCCTACCAAGGCCTAACCATACCGTACTAAGCCGTGCTAGGTCATGCAGTGGAAAAGCGCCATTAGTTATAGAATAGTTGTGTTAGTTGTGGGTTAGCACCTTCGAACTTGTAACAGAAAGCTTGCATTACAAACTGAACGTGACATTTGAAGGACGTTGGCATTAAAAAGGAACCAAAGATTCCATTGTGATGCATAATGGGAATTGTAGGAATTAGTGTTTTTGAAGTTTGACTGATAGGAGAATACACTCATAATATTACTTGGCCTCGTTTGCTTCGATTTCAGTTATGTCTTTTGTGAATCCCTTACATTTCTGAAAGTACAATACTAATTCAATGGGGTGCCCCTTTAAGTGTCCCATGTTATTCCTCAGGAATTCAAAGATATTTTAATTCTAACAAGTAACATTTTTGTTTTGCATCCGCATCAAAATATCCCCTGATCACATGGTAACTACTGTTTTCTCTTTTCCCACAGGCAGCTACTCCCTGTCGGTCAGGGACGGGGATGTGAGGACCGGAGACACAGTGAAACATTATAAGATCCGTATGCTGGACAATGGAGGGTTCTACATCTCTCCCCGCATCACCTTCAGCACCCTGCAGGAGCTGGTCAGCCATTACAAGAGTGAGTCAGGCCTCCACGCTCGGAAAGATTTACCAAACTCACTACTGTTTGTCTAGTAAAGTAATCATAGCTGGTCACTAAAATTGTAATGAGAGGACCAAAAAAAATCCTCAGGAGTTTAATAGAGATTTTATATTGAGTATTATTGTGGTTCATATCTATCTATCTATCTATCTATCTATCTATCTATCTATCTATCTATCTATGTTAACCAAAATGTCTCTAAATAAATAGTCTCATTAAAAGGACTTGTCTCACAGTAATGCACAGCACACTCTGCTGGCCAATCATACCTGAACAGGGTCATCACTGAGGGGATGGAATGTATTGCTCTTCAATATGAATTCTTGTTTGAATCATGACATGTAAATGTCCCTGCAATTAAGAAAAATTATAACATTTATATTAGGGCTGTCAAGTTAACGCGTTAATAACGCAACAAAATTAACGCCACTAATTATTTTAACGCAATTAACGCATGTGTATTTTTTTTCCTCGGCCGCCCCGTAGTTTCAGAGCGCATCGAGTTTAAAATACCATCTACAAGCTGATGCTGACAGCCCCGCTCCTGCCGCCCGCTTATGGCAGACCACACTTCCACGCTCACCGGCAGGCACCGACTGGCTGTTGGGAGGACCGGGAGGGTGTGTGTATGTGTGGCTCGAGCGAGCGAGAGAGAGACCTTACGTGCATTGTTGTTGTTAGCATCTGGTGCTAGCTAGCTGCGCTAACGGATATACGGAGCTGTTTAAATGAAAACAGAGGAGCGACATTTCGCCACAACTGCGCCGAGCACTTGACTTTATGCAGGAAGCCAGACAGTGGGACATTGTACGAGAAGTCAGCACACTCAGCACGGATAGTGCAACATGATTGCAGCGTCCAGGCAGCTCCCGTTCGAGCATATGCCTTGAGTTGCACATAGCTCCAACGAACACACACACACACACACACACACCATGTATACATCACTTCAGGGGACATTACATTGACTTACATGCATTTCCTGGAGACTTATCCTAACCTTAACCATAACCAACACATGCCTAACCCTTACCCTAAACCTAACCAAGTCTTCACCCTAAAATTAATGATTCCCCTCATGGGGACCTCCAATTTGTCCCCATAAGGGAAGCCAGTCCCCACAGGTGACTATGTAAACAGATGTAGGTCCCCACAAGTATAGTAATGCTAGACCACACACACACACACACACCATTTTTATTGTATTAGGTTCCAGGTTGAATTGAGGTGAATATTTGTAATGTTCAGAGGTTGTTGTGTTTAATATTCATGAGAATATTTGTCATTGTTCAAATGATAATAAACATTAGCATAAAGCATATTTGTCCACTCATATGTTGATAAGAGTATTAAAAACTTGAAACATATTCCTCTAAGGTACATTTAGAACAGATAAAAAATGTGCGATTAATTTGCGATTAATCGCGATTAACTATGGACAATCATGCGATTAATCGCGATTAAATATTTTTAATCGACTGACAGCCCTAATTTATATATTTTAGAGAAAACATTTCATTAAAAAAAGTCTGACCCTACAAACATACATGACAAAATGAAATAATATGTATTCTGTTGGTTCCAGAGCAGGGAGATGGTCTCTGCCAAACCCTGACCCACCCCTGCTTGAGCCCTAAACCTGAGAAACCGTGGGAGAAAGACGCTTGGGAAATCCCCCGATCATCGCTGAAGCTGGATAAGAAGCTCGGAGCCGGACAGTTTGGAGAGGTTTGGCTGGGTGAGACAGATCTGAAGCATTTTCACAATCCAGTCGTTAATGAAGGTACGAGCTTGTTATTTCATTTTATAATTCCAATTATTGTTTTGCTTTCAGCTACATACAATAAACACACCAAGGTAGCAGTGAAGACCATGAAGCCTGGCACCATGTCGGTGGAGGCCTTCCTGGGGGAGGCTAACCTGATGAAGGCTCTGCAGCACGACAAGCTGGTGCGCCTCAACGCTGTGGTCACCATGGAGGAGCCCATCTTCATCATCACCGAGTACATGGAGAAAGGTGTGTGTGTGTTTGTTTCCCAACCTTTTTTTAAATTACATTTATTAACATGTGAACTCTACTCTTGTATTTGAGAGTGCATAAAAACTAGGTAGCAAGCACAGAAGATTTTACATGAAGTTAAATGCTTCAAGTAGATCCCAAAAAGTAGTAAACTTGCTAAAAAGTGTGACGGCCGAATGATATGGACATTTTGAGACAAAAATTAGATATCTCTCAGAGTTCTTTTTTACAAGAATTTTTTTTGGGAGGAGGGTTAAGACAAGGTGCTTTTGTTCTTACAATGGCCCCAATCAGCAGTTAAGTGATTGGCGAATGCTTTAAATATTAAGCGAAATGTGTAAAATAAATGTCCAACTAAAGGTGGGGTAGGTAATTTTGGAGAAACCAGCTCGAGTGCGCTAGAATTTGAAAATACACAGCCGGAAAAAAATCTGCCACTTCCTTACAGAGCTACAGAGAGTTTGTGCACAGATGGAAGGCTCAGGCTGACAGGCAGGTCGGCCATCCAGTTACTTTAGCCGGGTCGGCTCAAATGATTGGTCGTGCTTTTTACAGCGCCACGGCTTCCAGAGATGACATTTTTTCATGGATTTTTTGTCAAAGCACTTCAGATATTCATTGCTATCGGGATGTTAAGAGCATTCCATGGAATATAACAAAAAGTGTGTCTCGAGCCGGTTTCTCAAACTTACCTACCCCACCTTTAATCTGGTGAAAGTAATACATATACAGTGGCAATAGGTGGAGCTCCATAACAATAGCATGAAATATATGAATCATCAAAGATATCGGTTCAAACGTACACGTATGCATTACAAATATACATAGGTGTAAGGCAAACTTCTGCAGCAATGGAGAGTCAGGACTCAGAGATACACGAGGAGAGTTGGAGCTTCGATGTCAAACACTGGTGTTTATTACGGAGAAATTCACATCACAAGTCACACAGCCAGATAGACCTTTTAACTAGTTTACAGAGAGTTAATCAACAGCTGGGCACACTGGAGATATCCCAACATCTGGAGACACTGAATCACTTGCCTGACTCTGTGACCGAGAGTTGACCGGTCATAAAACTGAGAATGAGTGCAGCAGCACATTCTTTAAAGGAGATAACAGAGTCAGGGTTGGTTATTAACGTCAACAGGCAATAAGGTTAAATATCTAGAAGTAAAGACAGAAATATTCCCTCACAATAGGTTGTTTTGTTGATTTATGCTTATGGTAAATATATGTTGAGCGCATTGAGCTTTACATGCAGCAGATGTGTTAATGTTTCTGTGTGTGCCCACAGGCAGTTTATTAGACTTCTTAAAGAGTGATGAAGGAAACCGTGTCCAGCTCCCCAAGCTCATCGACTTCTCTGCCCAGGTGAGAGTCACTCAGTCCCTCTCAGCCTTCTAGCACTGTGTGACCCGCTCCTCTGGTTGTTTGCTTCTTGCATACCTGACAGCAGTAATGACACTCAGTTCAACTCTTAGTCAGATCTTATTGTCAGATCCTCCAATGCCTTTCTTTTAGAAGTACCTAAAGTATTTCACACTATTTTCCCTTGGATCTTAGAACAGCAAACTCCCATGTGAATTAAAAACATATCTTTTTAATTTGGCTTTTAATTTGGGGTAATTTTAGTGGTAAAACCTTCTTGATGTTTTATCGTTTTATGGTTTTGTGATCGAACTATTTCTGTTTGTTTTATAACGTGTTTGTAATGATGTCCCTTACTATTTTTCTTTACTCCTTTTGTTTTATGTATCTTGTCTTGCTCTGTAAAGTACTTTGGGCTGCATCTTGAATTTATTATTATTATTGTGATTGCAAGAAAAACAGTGGCATTATTCCAGGAAATAGAGAAAAATAGATGGTTGATTTCATAAGAGAACACAATGCTATTGACGTTAGGGCTGTGCAATTATGGCAAACATCATAATCACGATTATTTGGGTCAATAATTGATATCACGATTATTTTGACGATTATTCATTGACCATTTATTGAACTTTAAAACAAATAATATTTTACCAATAAACAAGATCAACAAATATGTTGGAGCGCACTTCCAAAACCATACTAAACATATATTATTAATAAGATAAATAAAAATAAATTAGACCAAAATAAATTAAATCAAATATGATGCAGTGCACTGTCACAACCTACTGAAAACTCCTTAACATATAGCCAACATTTTGGTAAAACATATTCAACATATTCCTGTCACGATCTGTCTTTGTGGTATTTTGTCTTGTCTTGTTTCATGTTTTATTTTGAAAGGTCTTCACTTCCTGTCTTGCCTGTTTCTGTCTGCGTTGTGTCTTGTTTACATCTGTCTGTGGTTCCCGGTCGTTAGTTTCCCTGGTGTGTCTAATTTACCCGATTGTGTTCACCTGGTGTCCCTGTGTTTTCTCCTCCCTCCTCACCTGTGTCTTGTTTCTGTGATTAGTCTTGTGTGTATTTAAGTTCTGGTTTTTCTGTCTGTCTTTGTCGGTTCGTCTTTTGTTGTTGACTGTGTTCACCGGTGAGTGTTCTGTCTGTCCTAGTTCTATTTCATTATCCTTGAAATAAAGGTATTATCAGTTTAATCTGCATTTGGGTCCTGCTTCCTTCGCTCTACCGTGACAATTCCACTCAGTTAAACGTTGAAGGCTGGCCAACCGTCATGGTCCAGAAGTAACAGGAAATAAATGTTGAACTACAATTTAAGACCAAATAAAAATGTTTAGGCCACCATGGCAAATGCTGGTAAGGCTGCTCATGTCATCTCTTAAAGATTGTTCGCAAGAAACAACAGCCTGTTTACATGGTCTGGTTTCAGAGATGAGCGCAGGCAGGTGACAATATTGCCACCTGTACTGAAGACCCTCAGCCACGCCCCGACACATGGGGTGACGCCGGCCAATCACAAAGCTTTGATGCGTTCAAGTGCATTATTTTGGCACAGGAAGATTATGTTACAGGACATTAACGATAAAACAGAATATTGTTGTTCTATTTTTAGACACATCTCGCGATCGACTGGTTGGGCACCCCTGGGCTAGACCATAGGTCTGTTGTGGTAGCAAAGTAGTCAGCTGAAGCCACATCTCTCTCAACTTCCCCACGGCATTTGTCATATAGCGCAGGCAGCGCAGACCTGCTGAAATAATACCGAGACGGCATCGCGTAACGCTTGTCCAACGTGTTGACAAGTTGCTTAAAGCCCTGGTTGCTAACAGTGCTAACTGGGCACATATATTTAGCGATGTGAAATGTAATGGCAAAGTACTTGCAAATAGTGGAAATAGTTTTACCCTTCTTTTTAACGAGTTGCTGCTCTTGTTCTGACATCTTCGCTCGCGCTGAACACTCACAACACTTGTCACTCCCACGTGGCTGAGTGGGCTTTTAGGGAGGGGCGAAAGCGCACCCCGCAAAATAATCGTATTTTGTCAATTATGCTGTTTTCATAATCGTCGCAAGCCATAATCGTAATCGCGATTAAAATACGATTAATTGCACAGCCCTAATTGACGTAGAGCACCTTTCCACTCCCAGACAATATCTTGCCCGTTCCTTTAGACCTGCAGATCCAGTCCAACCTGCAGCAGCTCTTGGAGAGAGAGCGTAGCAGGTGTGAGCTGCAGAGGCAGACACGCCCATGTGATGATCATGACAAGACAATATTTATCTTAAAACAACGATTTGAGATGCAAAGGCTACACCAAAATTAAAGAACAAATGGTGTTTACGCTGCTTTACATTTGTACGATAAACGTATTGGGTTATATATGATGCCGTATTATGGCGGTTGTAGGTTAAAAAAGAATAATAATGGAATATAGTTTATATAGTTTTACATGGGATATAGTTTCAGTTATTGTGGATGTGCATGTTTGTTTGTTTTTTACAATTAGCCCCCTTTCCCATCTACTTCTATTTATTCCTAATACTACAACAAACCATATATGCTGTTAAAGTCATACGTAATGGATGTAAAAAATAAATAATTATAAAATAGTTAGATCTGCCCGTTTTGATTCAAACCCACCAAGATTCATTTGACTTTTGAACAGATTGATTGGTCTTACAAAGAAGCTAAAGGAAGGTAGCATGTGTACCTTAATTAAAGGTACGGTTTCTCTTGTTACCAGTGGCGCAATTAACTGAAAAAAGCTGCTTGCCCGAAGTGTTTGAGTGCATGGAAGTGTTGCTGCTTACGTTGAAGCATCATGTTTTGTACTGTTTTGTAATTTCATCTCCAATGACATTTGGTATGGGGAGCTATGTTTTGGCCCGTTTAAACTGACTGATGTATCTTTAGATTGCAGAGGGCATGGCTTTCATTGAGCAGAGGAACTACATCCACAGAGACCTGAGGGCTGCCAACATCCTGGTCAATAAGGCTTTGGTGTGCAAAATTGCTGACTTTGGCCTCGCCCGTATCATTGAAGACAACGAGTACACAGCCAGAGAAGGTAGGGCGCCGTCCATGCTCACATGTTGTAATGCTAGTTCAATCAGGAGAGACGTGATGTATGAGTACATGTTTATTATCGGGACACATGATGTGCGGGAATAGTGATTGACGTATTACAACAAGTAACTGTAATGATGTTTTGGCGATTAGGTCCCGGGTTTGCAGGATGATCATTCAGGAGGGAAAGAACCGCTCTGATGAACCCCCGCGGTCTAGACACTGGTGGTGGTGATAGTAGTTTGGTCCGATCTGAAGAGAGAAGGTTTTAGCTTGGCCATATATTAGGAGACAGGAGGTGAAGGGGTGGAGGAGGGTTGTGCGTTGACACCTGAAATGACAACTGACAGGAAGGGGAGAGCAGATTTAAAGGGGTTAGCAGGTGCGATGATTGGCTAGCCGGGACGTAACACCCCTGATCACTTATTGAGATAACGTGTGACACCCGATGATATTGTCTTCCTGATTGAACTTACGCTGAGCTACATTAGTCATCAGTGAAAAAACGGGAAACTGATTCCCCCAGAACTAATGAAGGGGAAGCAGGTCAGTTTCATCAGTTTAGTACAGAGGCAGTAACATCGTCGACATTACTTCAAATGTTTTTTGATTTCCTCTTTAACCAGGAGCAAAGTTCCCCATCAAATGGACGGCCCCTGAGGCCATCAACTATGGCTCCTTCACCATCAAATCAGACGTCTGGTCCTTTGGTATCTTGCTGACTGAGATTATCAGCTATGGACGCACACCATACCCAGGTGAGAGGCTCAATTGATATCAACATTGATAGGATTGCATTTGCCAGAAGGCCTAAACAGGAGGGCCCTGCTGCAGGGGCCTCAGAAAACATAATTAAAGGGGCCCTATTATGCTATTTGTGGTTTTCCCTTTCCTGTAGTGTGTTATAAAGGTTGTGTACCAGAGGGAGTTTCTCTCCCACACATTTCCCCCCCCCATCCCTTTTTTTACTCGGAAAATGTTCCTTTATTACATAATAAATCTGATTTGTACAGCATTTTAGTAGGATAGCAGTATTTTAAAGTGTCAAAAACAAAGTGACAGTAACAGACTGGAACAAGAAAACCAGTGTTGTTGTACCTACTGTACTAGTACTACCAAACAAAGTAGGCATTTTCTTTGAGCCACTGCATCTCACAAATAAACAAGGACATTTAATAATCAGACCCTGCAATAAAATAAATCAAGTTTCACTTTAGTTTTTCAAGTAACTCAACTCAAACTCACTAAGTCACTCACTCAGCATCATCAGACAGGTTTTTAGGAATATGAGAATGTCCACATTTCCAGGTATTTATAAACTGGGATGTTTGGGCATTTACAATATCCCCTGCTCTGGAAAAAACTCTCTCGCTTGGTACTGATGTTGCTGGGACAGCAGTGGTCGCGTTAACCGAATATTTTATTTAACAATAACGGAAAAATCTGAAAGCAGTCTGTCATTTTGACAGATTAGAACAAACTCGCGACAGCGCCAACGTTTCCCCGCAGCGAGGCTCTGGTGTTATGCCGTGGTATGCATGCCCCCCAAAAGGAAATGATATAGTTTCCAAACCGTACTTTGCCGTACAGATCAATACATGTCTGGGAGCTTTTGCTTTACGCTGTGTGCGCTCCCGCGAGGTGCATGCACACACGGCATAACACCGCCGCCCCCCCCCCCGTTGACAGTTCACGAGCGTGCTCTCTCTCTCTGTTCAGACCCGACGGGTAATAAGGGATTATGACGGATATTTTACGATCCTGTCTGTCAAAATGACGGACAGCGAAACAGTCTAACGCCACCTCAGTGGGACGGAGAGATATGCTTTGGCCATGGGTGACAGCAGTGGGTCAAACTGTGCATTGTCTCTCCACCACTTCAAAAACAATACAGTTTTTGCCAAGAAGGTGAGGCTTATTGACAGGGCGAGATATAAATATAATAATTAATAATAATTCCTTACATTTATTATAGCGCTTTTCCAGATGCTCAAAGCGCTTTACAAATACACATTACACATATCATACATGCAATGGTCACCACCAATATACTGTTGGTACTTGTCAATGTCTCTAGGTGTGTACATGTAGCCCTGTAAATACGATGTCCTTTTGTGTTCTGTTGTTTTATGTTCATGTTTACGGTGGCCCTGAAGTGCAAGACACCACAGCATTTCACAAAACGCTACAGCATTTCAGAAAACACTACAGCATTTCACAAAACGCCACAGCATTTCAGAAAACACCACAGCATTTCACATTGGACGGAAAGGGTATTCCTTAGGGAGAACACTTCTTGTTTGTGATTGGACAGAGCCAGCCATAGAAGCACTGCTGTGAATGGTTGTTTTTGCTGCCAGTCAAGAAATGACGCTTCGTGATTAGCCCAACACATCAGCCGTTAGCTGTTAGCACACACTCAGAGCTCACAGCTCCTCATATCTGTTCAGAAACTGAAATAAGTTAAACAAGTACAAAACACAGACTGTCTATGTCATGGTGAATACAGTCGCTGCTTTATTTATGTCTGTATGACGTTGTTGTGAGTGTGGACGAAGCAGCTACAGGTTAGTTTAGCCTGATCGATCCGATTCCGATAGGATTTACATGGAGATACGGCCCGCCCCCTCTCCAGCGTCTTGTTTGAATGACAGGAGTAAACACAGAATTAATGCTTTATTCATTCATGGTTTTTAAGGGGCTTATCTCCATGTAAATACTATGGTAGACTACCCAATATTCGCATCGCTCTAATCGCTCAGTTTCACCGCGGCTGTCAGCTGTGTTTGCTCCTGTCATTCAAACAAGAGGCGCTGGAGAGGGGGCGGGGCGTATCCATGTAAATCCTATAGGAGATACCAACTACAACAAAATGAACATATTTGACCGTGATTTAATTGTAATACATGTTTCAAAGTGATGCCGAAGTAACTACATACTGATAACGGTTAGTAAAAACCATGAATTAACGCTTTGACAAGTCTGCAGACAAGACGGCAGGCGAAAAGCTTTTAAAATGCGTGTTTTCTGAATGGAATCGGATCCATCAGGCTAAACTAACCTGTAGCTGCTCCGTCCACACTCACAACAACGTCATACAGACATAAATAAAGCAGCGACTGTATTCACCATGACATAGACAGTCTGTGGTTTGTACATGTTTAACTTTTGTCCAGTTTCTGAACAGATATGAGGAGCTGTGAGCTCTGAGTGTGTGCTAACGGCTAATGTGTTGGGACATATTTCGCTGTCGGGTGTTGACCAATCACGAAGCGTCATTTCTTGACTGGCAGCAAAAACAACCAATCACAGCAGTGCTTCTCTGGCTGGCTCTGTCCAATCACAAACAAGAAGTGTTCTCCCTAAGGAATACCCTTTCCGTCCAATGTGAAATGCTGTTGTGTTTTCTGAAATGCTGTGGTGTTTTCTGAAATGCTGTGGTGTTTTCTGAAATGCTGTGGCGTTTTCTGAAATGCTGTGGTGTCTTGCACTTCAGGGCCACCGTACATGTTGTAACCTACTTGCTGCCATGTTGGACAGGTCTCTTGAAAAAGAGATCGATGATCTCAATGGGACCACTTGGTTAAATAAAGGTTTAAAACAAAAAAAAGTGTTTCAAAAAAAAAAATTGAAAAGAAAATGCATTAAAAAAAAAAATTGCGGTAGATTTTGTCAGTCTCACGACGGTATTGGAACGTTTATTTACCGCGATATTCGGTATATCGTTACATCCCTAGTGGAGACCCTAAATACAAATATGAGCCTGAAAATTAGCAGAATAGAGTCCCTTTAATTCCAATCTACTAAGCAATGGTGATATTGGGTTATATCAAATTATATTAGAGATATTATCCACCCCAGCAACCGCCTGTTGACCCGTGCGATTCACTCCTAACAGACTATACAACGGCTTCTTTCCTCATACAGTAACTCCTTGACTCATCCTATTGTCACCAGTATAAACAAATCTGGATTTTGGGTAGCACCCTACAACCCAATTTTGCTGTGCAAAACTGTGTTTTACAATGAGTTTAAATCAAGCTTGAACCTTGAATCAAAGTTTAACCCTAAACTCAGCCCAGGGATTCTCTTGGCCTTCAAAGTGGCCTGCAAAAATGAGGGTAATGGGAGGAAAATGCCACTGATTTGATTTTAAATAGAACCAGGATAAAAAACACTATAGGGCAATATGTAGTTTTCTGCTTGAGTTATTTAGCAACAAAGCCCTCCACAGTTAATCATTTTTTTATGTAATTTGGGGTTTTTCTCAAGGTTGTACCGCTTGTCCTTGATGCAGCAAGAACTAGGGTACATCTATGATAGCGATTTTTTGAAGGGGGGCATCCCTATGTTTTAGGGTCTTATGTTATTGATATAAACTAACATTGTACTGCATTTGATAGGCCAAATACAAAAGTCTGATGGACGTATCAAATGCAGTTTGAATGGTAAAAAAAAACAGTTCAGTCACTGTGAATATAACAATGTTTAAATGTAAAACTGCCCACAGTTTTGAGGGCATAGATTGTCTTGAGTTTAACATCATTAGGCTGTAAGATGGAGGTGGGAGATTTTAACATTGTGAACTAGGGCTACATTAATAAGAGGATCAACAAAGTTAAGACAATTCATCCTGAGATCATCATGAGACAAATTGCATGGCAATTCTTCCAATAGTTAACTTAAAACCACAATGTTAACTAGGCGTTTCGATAAAGTCAGGGGATTACCAAGTTCAGAGGGGATCTTGAAAGTCTGTACACAGTTTCATGGCATCCCATCAAGTAGTTAAGATATTTTTGTCAACTCACCAACAGAGTAATATTGCTAGCCATAAAGCTACGAAGCAAGCATCCCAGCCAATGAGCTATTTTCTATAGGTTTTTTTGTGTATTGTTCTGCTTCTCTTAACCAAATGATGTGCTCGTGTCTTCAGGGATGACCAACCCGGAAGTGATCCGTGCCCTGGAGAAGGACTATCGGATGAAGCGCCAGGACAGCTGCCCCGTGGAACTCTATGATATCATGCTGGAATGCTGGAAAAACAAGCCTGAGGAGCGTCCCACCTTTGAGTACCTGCAGAGCGTCCTGGAGGACTTCTACACAGCCACAGAGAGCCAGTATCAGCAGCAGCCATGAGACATGTCTTCTCTTAGTGCTGTTCATTCTCACAGCAGGTCCACTTTCTACAGTGAAATCCAGAGCACACACATGTTCTCTCTTTACCACTTTCTGTTTCTCTTTTGCACACACACACAACCATCACAGAGACTGTACAAACATTATTGGGGAGGGTTGAAAGTCTTTAAAATATATTTGTAGCAAGCTAGACATTACTGATACTAACATTTTATTTTTATTTTCATTCAGCCCTCATTCCTTAGAATGAGAACATTTAAAGTAATAGGACTACAGAATAGAAATACAAAAACAATATTAGCAACCTATCATTTATTATTATTACTAATGCAAAAACATTATGAGAAAATATTCTTACCTCCTACTCTTACTACCAGTCTGATGATGATCTGAAGGTGTGGATTTAGGTTAACATGACCACAGCTGCATCAGGTCTACTGGATATTTGTCTGCACAAAACTGACCGTAAATCGTCTGTTTCCTTCACAGTTATTCCACTGGATTTTAAAGTTGAACATTCATAAACATAAATATTAATTAATTAATAAAATTTGAATAAATGCATAAGTAATTAGAGACTAGTGTCACACAAAACAACAGGTATACATAAGCAGCAAGGACAGTTTGTTTTCTAAATGTAAGTAAAAATAGCACCTTTGCTTGGATAAGCTCTAATAGTGAACAGGCAAGCACATCAAGACTGGTATTTTTCGCAAATTGGAAAGGGAAAGCTGGATTTAAAACAAATCTGACCATATACTGTGCTGTAAAATAGTCTGACTGCTATTTTTCTAAACATATATATATATATATATATATAAAATAACAATATAAATAGCAAATCCCACTTCTCTACCCTGAGCCTCTTATACTGTATGTACAGTCTCTTGTAAAAAAGTAGAGTAACAAGATATGTCTATATTCACAAACAACAAACAAACAAGGCCACCTGAATGCAGTCACATGGAAGACACAGGATTTAGTTGTTGTGCTCCAGCACATATTGTGCATCCTGCTCCATAACACAGATGTAATGATGAAATGTGTAATCGGTCTGATAATACTGTGTTTATGCCAACCATTCAACTGTGACTGTCCCTCCTTCTCTGGTTAAATCTGCAGGGTTTACCATGTGAAAGGAGAGCGTTTGTTACAACGTGCAAGATATACTGTATGCTTTAACCTATATTTATATATGTTCCATGCTGTGGATTGTTTTAGCAATACTCCTTCAATGTGCCTTTTTTAGGTGTTGTTACTTTTTTCAAACATTTATAATATATTCCACACGCTCTGTATATATAAGGTGTGTACAATTAAATACAAAAATGTAGGAATAGCATTTAATGTGAAGCCATATTAACTGATGATGCTTTTGTATCCTTTCCGCCCATTACTTTGGTGGTGCTGTATTTGGGAACTAAATGAAAAAGCAGTGCATATAGATCCACACATCGTTTGGCCTTGTTTTATTCTGAGTAAAACAATAATTTATTTGTGAAAATGGAACATGAGTTTATCTTGAATGCAGTGATCTTTCCAGAAGGAAACACTTTTTCTATAATTTTTTTTGTGAAGCACTCATTAAGGCTTACTCTTTGTTTGGAGGATGGGATTCTTGTAGGAATGTGTTTTTTTGACAAAAATCCTAAAATATCAAAGGGAATGCATTTAATAATCTAAGAATTTGTAATGTGATGATTGGTACCCTTCTGAGTTCTGTGAGTAACAATATCTGAGAGGATAGTGAACATATTGAATCAATGCCCTGTGCTATATATGAATTAATCTGGTTACTAATGTTTTTTTGTTTTTCTTTAGCAATATATTAATAGTGGCATATTTTGTTAAACGCTTTGTTCAATGCAACTCTGGGGACCATATTCAAATAAAAGGTTTTATTAGCATTTATCTACCTTTTACACCATTTTGTACACAGCTATCTGCTTGTTTCTAGTTAAATAGTAGGAGGCTAATAAATATACCATTTTAAATATAAATACATATTACTTTTGGTGGTTAACATAAAATTAGGCCTATGTCACAAGATGGAAAAATACTGTAAACACTTCCTTTAACTCAATAGATATTAATATGTATTTATTATATTGTTATATTGTTATTGGCATTCAATTGTTTCAGTTATTAGTAGATGTTGCTTTAGGTTAAATCTTCATCTGGAGGTTGTTTTGTTTTTTTAAATCAAGAAATTGCATAAACCTAACATTATACATGGTAAAACAAAACAATCTCTTCTTATGGATGTGGAATTTTCCCATTAAAAAAACTGTGTATAAACAAACAATATATTTGTCTATGGTTTCGCCCTTAAATATATAAAAGTGTTTTCTGAAAATCTTGAAATTGTTTGCCCAGTTTTCCTTATTTTAAATAGACCTAACATACTGTTCAACATAAATATTCTGTTGTGCTTACAATGAAAACACAACTAGTTTATTCCTAACAATGTTAACAATTTAGACGTGGACAGTAAGTAACTGCACTAGGTAACGTACTTAAATACACATTTGAGGTACTTGTATTCAACCCGAGTGTTTTCATTTTATCCTACTTTATACTTCTACTCTACTACCTTTTGGAAGCCAGTTTTGCACTTTTCACTCCACTACAATTATTTTTGACAGATTTGTTTACCAGTTTACATTCATATGTTGACACACATTACAAATATGAATATTTGGTATAGAATAAACGATCCAACATTATATGGAATTATCTGAAACCATGAGTGGGTTCACTGGAAATGTATTGGCAGCAATTTCTCTAAGAAGTTTTTTGTCCACAGGAATTTCAGAGTTCCAGCTCCGTAAATGTGAAGATTTGCTGCAAGCTTTAAAATATTGTTTTATTTAATATGTTTTTAGTGTTTTCTGCAATGAGTCCTCCTAATACTTTAAGTATAGATTTTCCTAATCGTAGCCTACTTAAATACTTTTAACTATGTACCATTCTCGTTGCAATACTTTTACTTTAAATGTACTATGTTGACGGTGTTTTACTCAAGTAAAGAATCTGAATACTTTTCTCACCATTGATTTAGATTACTACTCAATCAAATTAAATTCAAAAAGTATTGTCAAAGTTGTGTAAGCCTACAATTGCGAAATCTATATGTCGCAATTGTAGCTTCAAATATGCAACTTCAAATATGTATGTATATTTGAAATGTATAACTAATGTTAATTTCATTAACATTTGAACAAATGCAAGAACATGCTATCTTTACAACAAATACAAGGAAAAAGTCATTAATAAAACATGTACAAAACATAATAGAGAAAGTTATGTGAGGGGTGTGTCAGATAAACCCGAAAGGAATTCATCGTAACTACAGTACTTCCGCAACGTCACAAATGACACGTATTCAAAATGGCGGCCGCGGCTAGGGTGAGTGGAAAGCGAACTATTTTCTTCAAACTACACGACGCTCATTCCTTCTTTCAAAATGAACTCGAACACACTGGTGACATTGTACCACAGTATATGTTAACTTGGTCGATTTATAACGTTAATTAGGTTCGGGTTTACGAAATGCGGACGCTGTTAAAATGTTGGCGATCCTGCTAACTGCTTGCTGTAGTTAGCTAGCTCTCGTTTGCTAGCTTGACTGTCAGTCAGCTGTGGCTAAAAACACACATTTTCTAGGATTTGTCTCGTATATTAAACAGTGCTGACAGAGTACATATGGCTTCGTACTTGGTTGTTTGACTGTCATGTGCTGTACAACCTAGAGTAATCAGCTAGCCAAACTTTGGCTCGAAGCTAGCTGTTAGCAGCTTCAGTTTGAGGCTGTTGTCGGTGTACCTAACAGAGCTCAAATATTTCAACACCAGCAGATGGATACTAAAGACAAAAATAACGTTATCTAAGACTGTTATTTAACTGTGCTGGTAGCGTCTGATAACATACATATCATTTATGTAAGAAGCAACGCTTGCTAACTTAATTTAACAAAACTCTATGCCTATACGATGGATGTACTTCCTTCCGATGAACTGAGGTTATGCTAGTTGGCCCATTTCAGAATATAATATATCATACGTTTTAGTTATAATTATTGATGTGTAAAGCTGATAAAGGTGGAACTTATTATTTACTGCTGTGTTGAATGTAAATTAAATCAAGGTGTAACTAAAGTCTTAAGTTTTGTGCCTACTGTTTATCATTAATCTATATCTGCAAAGTAACTAAAGGTATTACATAAATGTAGTGGATTAAAAGTAATACTATTGATAATGGGAATACACAAGTAAAGTACAAATACCTCACAATTGTACTTAAGTACAGTACTACTACTCGAGCAAATGTACTTAGTTACTTAACACCACTGACCATGGACGGGGTCATCCTTTATTGTTTTCCAGTTCTGAATCACACATTAATTGTGAGTCTCTTTGACATTAATCAATAGAAAACTTAAATCTACACTATTCTCTAAAAAATATAGTACCTCTGATCCTATAACTGTTTTTCTGTGTTTGGGATCAATGTCTGTTTGAAAAAAATAGTATTAGTAGTAGTATTGTGCTCCATGGAGACAGTTCAGAAAGCATGACATGAACTCCTTCTCCCTTCTTGTGAGAAACAATAGCTTATAAGTCATGGCATCTTTCTCTTGGCTTTGTGCCATTAAGCTGCCACTGCCTATTCACCTGATTCAAGTTGTGTGAACAGGTATTGAAAAAAACTGACATTGCGGTTCCCCCCCCCCCCCCCCTGTGGTATATATTGCGTTTTTTTTAACCTGTTAAACCCCAAAGTCCCGGCGGGTACTTTACTTTTTTTTTTCACGACAGTGTCTCAGGGGATCGTAATATTTAAGAACCTATTAATGTGTTATACCAGATTAACGGAAATAATCTCAGCTAACTGACGATACAAACCATTTTATACCAAAACAAAACACAAGTCTCATAAGAAGCATCTAAATGACCCCTGAGCGAAAAATGCTAATGCACTTTGGCACAGAACTCAAGATAAAAGTACCCTTATTATTACTTATCGTAGCTGCACTTACAAGATATCCGATTAAAGCTGAGGTTCCACAGATTATTTAGGTATATAGTATCATCACTGAGTGATCTGAACTCGGACAGGGGAAGCAAACACAGACATCACAACACGTACCTTTACGTAGCTTTGAGGGGAGATGTCTCACCGTAGCTGTCAATCTGATCAAAAGACGTGTTCAATGGCATTAAAACGAGAAAGAAAAAACGCGGCTGAATCGGTTAATCCATAGGTTTTTAACATCTCTGTATTAAAAAAACGATTTAATTTATAATCCATAATTCCATTTTTATGTAAATATCGCAGAGCAAAAGTTAGCTAATAATGGTAGCCACCAGAGTGGCTGCTGCTTCCGGTCTCGGCTATGCGGAAGTCTCTCACACACACATTACCAAATAAGGACTGTGTGATTTCCCCTCGATTCCAGTGGCTCTGACGGTCAGAAAGAGATGTCACATGTCAAAATCCAGCAAGGTGGGCCAGAGATATGGAAAATCCACCCAAATGGCCCCAAAAGAGGGGTTTTTTTGTGCTAAATCTGTCTAAAAAGGTCAAATATCAGGGGAAGTTCTACACACACCAACACATGAACAAATAAGGAGTGAGAGTGACGACGCATAGCCAAAACCGGAAGCTGCATACCACCAAGGTGGCTACCATTAGCAGCTAACTTTTGTGATCCGATTTTTACATAAAAATGGAATTATTGATTATAAACAATTGCTTCAAAGCCACAGATACATTATCAACCTATGGATCAACCGATTCAGCCGCGTTTTTTCTTTCTCGTTTTAATGCCATTGAACACGTCTTTTGATCAGATTGACAGCTACGGTGAGACGATCTCCCGTAAAAGGTACGTGTTTGCTTCCCCTGTTGCGAGATCGGATCGCTTCGATACTATACTTAAATAATCTGTGGAGTCTCAGCTTTAATCGGATATATTGTATGTGCAGTTTCGATAAGTAATAAGGGTATCTTTATTTTGAATTCTGTGCTAAAGTGCGTTAGCATTTAAAAAAAAAAAAAAGAATAAAACCGCACGTCCCTGCGGTGTGAATACCGCGCATGCGCATACCGCGGTTATCGCCATGACACGGTATATCGTTCAGCCCTAGTGAACAGTGTATTTTTCTCTAGTATTTATTGTTTGAATGATCCCCCTCAATTACTGTACGAATATGCCGATATGCAAATGATTATGTTTCTGGGTAAACTTGATCCTACATCTAGAGGGAAACCATTAATTCTCAACTAACATACTTTAAAGGTCTCCTATCATGCAAAATCCACTTTTTAATGTCCTTTATACATTAATATGTGTCCCCGGTGTGTCAGGAAACTCACAAAGTGTCAGAAATTAAAACCATTTCTCTTTTCCTCCGTACCCAAATCTCTAAAAACGGGGGTACAACGGAGCGGATCCAGATTTGCGTCCGATATGACGTAGTATCGGAAATGTGGACCTATCAGAAACGTTGCCATCAGAAACAATGTACAAGGGCTGTCCTCGACTAAAGATTTTTCTAGTCGATTTTTTAGGGCGATTAGTCGACTAATCTTCGCACGTTTATGATTATAAATATATTTTTTTTAATTCTTTTTTTCCCCTCCCAACATGGTTTGCGTTTCAAAGGCTGATAAAGAGCGTTATTATAACAGCATGGTACGTTGTGCTTCACATAACATATACAATACAACTGTAATAATGAACCTTTGAAATGTAATTAAATGAGTCACAGCAAACGAACGCAGCGGTCTGCCACTCCGCTTGTCACTGGTGTAAACAGCAGAAGCTCCGGTAAGGATTCTTATTGTGTGTGTGAACAAGCAGCAAGGATACACATGGAACATTTAGTTCTAGTTTCTATTATTCATATCTGAATATAACAACCCAATAAATACTACAGAGGAAACGGAAACACTGAAAATATGTGCGTCTGCAATGTCCCTCCGCATTATGCCCTAATCATGAAATTAAAACGTTATCGTTTTCTGAGGTCAGAATGATTATATATTATAGGTCTATATATGTTGATACAAAGCTAGTTTACTACTCACTGCTTGCTGTTCCTCTGAGTCTGAGAACACACGTTGTCGGTTAATTAAGCTCCGTGTTTTGTTATTAAGCCGGCATTCAGGAAGCTGCGCTCCGATGGTGTGGATTAGGGATCGACCGATATTGCTTTTTCAAGGCCGATACCGATTATTAGTAATCAAGGAGACCGATAACCGATATTTGGAACCGATATACATTTGCAGTAAAATCAGAAAATCTTGGTGTCAAAATGTAGAATAACACAAACTCCAACACAACTTCTTTGAAATGCATTTAAGCATATATTATGTTTAATGCACTTTTAAACATCTTACAACTGGTTTCCTCTCTGTGCCCTTTTCTTTAGTGCAGCCATCTGCAATGAGATGGACAAGAAGTGGGGCTGCAGGCTGACATGCTTAACTGACAATAATGCTTAATTTATTATATCAAAACAATGCCTGTCTATCTAGCATAACATCCCAATAAGCTGCTAGCAACTGTAAAACACTAGTGCTAGCTAATGTTCTTAGTCTAGTAGCCTCACTTCTAATATTTTGCTAAACATTTGCTGGATACATGTTGGCTAGCTAATGAGCTTCACATATCAACCTGAAAAACTGCGAGGCTCCACTCACAGCCCCCCTCCGCACCACAATTACTCCGCTGCGAGACGCTGCACGCACCCCCAACTCTGACTGACTTCCCTGTGTAACTGGGAAACTGATAGAATTGGATAATAAGATCGTGGTGTTTTTGCAACTTCAGCATAGGGGATAGGGATGTTTATTGAACTTCGGTTTAACATGTGTATGGCTCTGCCGCTCAGCGCTGCCGCTTGCCTGTAATCTGAGAAGGTCCCGCCTCTCTGGCTGGCTCCCGGCCGGAAAATCTTCAGTGTTGATTGACACTTCAGTAATAGCCTATCAGATGGCGCTGTGGGCGGGACATTGCTCGTGTACACAGAGTGGTGACTGCAGCCAGAGAAACGGCCGCATCAGAGCCAACGTTTTATCGGCAATTTGATTAAAAAAAGACCGATACCGATAATCGGTAAAAAGCGGAATATCGGCCCCGATAATCGGCCCCTAGTGTGGATATGGAGGAGACTTTGCCTTCGTAGTTTGCATGTCACCTTGTAGGACTCGTCCTTTACTCGCTCTGAAAGATCCACACTTTCCTGCTCAACCAAATTAACATGAGTTTTTTGTTCTCCAACTAACCGACTAATGAATAATTGCTCGATTAAGACTTAATTAGTCAACTAGTGAGTAATCAACTATTTGGGGGCAGCCCTACAATGTACGACATGTTTTGGACGTAATATGGTCTTTGTTTA